TGGGGGGTGGGGCGGCGGAGGAGAGCAAATAGAAACGCTATTCAGTTGCTGCCATCTAGTGGTCATTGTCACTCAGTTCGGTCTTCTCTGGCAAATCAACCATCAGGACTAGGTTAGTTATTTCTGGGTCTTGACAAAAATGAGTGTGAGGCACCAGCCGCATTGTCAGGGAACCTAGTGTGCAAATAGCAAGTGGCTATACATACTATGCACATGGTCACAGCAGATTCCTAATGGAGATTGGAACTGTTCAAACCTTCTTATAGGGTGTCACACTTTGAATGATCATAAAGTCAGTATTTATTAACACAGTTCATTTTCAAAATTTAAAAGAATCTACAGAAATGAATGATTTTTTTTGTCAATGCCTGTTTTCAAACGGATGACCGCTCTGGTCCAGGCACTGCTGATACCTCGAAGCAATGGAATTGCAAACATCAAGAATCATTTCTTTCAGTATTTGTCAACTGTTGCCGGTTTTGTACAGTAAACTATCTTTTATGTATCCCCATAAAAAGTCTAGTGGATACATTTTCTTTGTTTAAAGTTTGGCTTAATGCATTATTTCAAATCAGTTAAACCTGAAAAGGAGTGAAAATTAAGTGAGCTATCAGCTATTAAAATGTATACACACTTTGAATAATTATAAAGGTAGTGTCTGTACTTCAACTGTGTTTTCGAACTTCCAGTAGCATTTTAGGATAAATTTATTTTGTTTAAAGCTTAGCCTGGCTGAAAAGAAAGAAGTATCAATTGAGTTAACAGCTGTTAAAGTGTGTATACACATTTTTGGGACACCCTGTATATTGCAAGTTGGTAGAAACAGTCTCTACATTCATTGTTTGAAGGGCAAACTGATTTTTTCATTTGCATCTGATGTAGCTTTTCATTTTGAAGCCACAAGACACAGTTTCTCTTTTCATTTCTAGTAGTTTTTTTTCTTCATTTATCACTGGATCTAAAATACATTGTGTGCACTTGTCACATATTTTCCTAAACTTTAATAAAAATACAGGGTGGGTCAAAAGTAGGTGTACAGTTGGTCCTGTGGAAAATAATGCAATCTGTAATAATAAAAGCATAATATGCTAATTAGACCGGACGGCCGAACGACCTTCTGGACGTCATTCCGGACGTCCTTCCAGACGAAGCTGTGGTGGTGGGGACCGAGGCAGAGGTGGTTAGGGGTGATCAGGTAGGCAGGAAAGTGGTTAGGGGTGATCAGGCAGGCAGGTAGAGTGGTTAAGGGCGATCAGGCAGGCAGGCGAATGGTTAGGAGCGATCAAGCAGGCAGGCAGAGTGGTTAGGGGCAATCAGGCAGGCAGGCAGAGTGGTTAGGGGTGATCAGGCAGGCAGGCAGGTGAGCAGTTAGGAGCCAGTGGTCCCGGATTGTGAGAGGAATGTCTGACTGTCGGTTTCAGCCCGACCCCCCTGAGGGGTCCCAGATTGCGAGAGGGTACAGGTTGGGCTGAGGGACCTCCCTCCCCCATGCACGAATTTCATGCACCGGGCCTCTAGTAATTACATACTCACAACTGTAAACCTACTTTTGCCCACCTTGTATTATAAATGCATTGTTACCCATGAATGGAGATATCATAGTGACAGAGCCCAGGGCCCTTACAATGACAATGAGGCCTTTTTAGAGATCTACATTCAGGTTTTCAATGACTACTTCCCTGCAGAAACCACCAGTTATTTCTCCCTTTGCTTATACATTTAAGAAGTGAAAGAATGAACTGGAGATTCTTATGGTTAAACTAGAGGCCTGGTGCACGAAATTCGTGCACTCGTGGGGTCCCTTAGCCCAGTCTGTGCCCTCTCGCAGTCCGGGAGCCCTCAGGGGATGTCTGAAAGCCCATGGGGAGCGGGCCTAAGCCAGCAGTCAGACATCCTTAGCGCTGCTGTGGAGGCAGGAGAGGCTCCCGCCACCACCACTGTGCTTGCCAGCCGTAAGCCCGGCTTCTGGCTGAGCAGCACTCCTCCTATGGGAGCGCACTGATCACCAGGGGGCAGCTCCTGCATTGAGCATCTGCCCCCTGGTGGTCAGTGCACGTCACAGCGACCAGTCGTTCCTCCGTTCAGTCGATTTGCATATTAGCCTTTTATTATATAGGATTGATCTTGCTTTCTCATTCATTGGTCTATTTAATAAGTTTCCAACTTAGTCAAAGAAGGTATACATACCTTTTTGAGCAAGTATTTTAAACAGATTTTTGCTATTCAAAACTGTCTGAACTTCCTCATTCATTTAAAAAAGTTCAAAAGAAAAATTACTATGAAGCAGCAACATTAAAACCTTCTCATAAGTAGAAAAAGAAAGCACTATAATTCCACAAATATTCTACTCGTGTTTTGATTTAATTCTATAGATTCAGTTCTGCATTCAACTTCTCATTTTGGATAAAATACTTGGGATAGAGTCTGTTCTGAAGGACATGGGACTGGATGCCAGCTGGGTGCCCTTCCTGACAGACTTAGATAATTCCATCTCTTTTGTGTGTGTGTTTTACATTGTTCCCACATAAAGAGAACAACTTCAGGAAATATTACCAGAAAAGAGAAGTCAGGAAATAGGGCATTTTGGGGAGCTAATTCATGGAATAATCATTATTTTTGAAAGAGAAAAGTCAGGCAATATTTTAGCTGATAGCTTAACATAGCTAATAGAAAAGTAAATGAAAAGCAATTGCAATCACAAAGATCTCCCAGCTTGTAAATTTATTTCACCAAACCATTTTGAGGAGTAACAGGAAGCAAGAGCTGATACTTAAGTACTGAGTCAAGATAATCAGTATTTGAATACAAGACACAATTATAATGTGAGTCACTCACCCTTCCTCTAGGACCTGGATACTCTCCATTTTGGTGGTAAGCGTGGGTCTTTCTGCAGTTTCTGCTCTCTCTTCGTTCCTAACAGTGAGGCTGTAATGTAGCATAACACTTTATTTTGTCTAGGGAAAACCAATTATTGAAAGAAAAGAAAAAATTTGCAAGAAAACATTCCACGGAAGAATTTTACTTTCAACGATGTGAGAATATTTAGTGTACAAAAAGAGCAATGCCATTTTTAAATGATGGGTAAGCCCCTTTCAACTAAGGCAAAGAGAATAATTATTTAATCACATTATAAAATAAATCAGAACTCAAAAATGGATACCATTATACATTCTGACTTCATCCTTACATAATTTAAATTGCTTAAAATCCCTGAGATACCTACATGATTATATGCTTTGATAGATTTTCCCCCATGGATACCATCCTTCCTCCATCCACTCAAGTTGGAACTGCTGGATTTATATTTGACTCTGTTTTTGCCCTTTCACCCTAGTTAATCAATTTCTGATGTCTCCAGAGGTGCTGAATAGGAGAGCACTGCACGAGAGGAATCTCTGTGTCTCTGGGCATAAATTTAGGAATTCTATAGGATTACAGGAGCCAGGGCAATCCCATGCACAGTGGTTCACAACAAGACTAAGAATGGTCTGATTCAGGCTCACTGTAACTGAGGAGCACCTTAAGGTGGAAGATCCAAGGTTCTAGGTGCAGACTAGACGTAATGAGGGAGATTTGGGGCAGATACTAAGAAGCAGGTGGGGAGGATGACTTGGAAAAGTTAAGCTACTGGCTTAGCAAACTGATCCCCTTATGGAGAAGCTGAGGAACTTCAGGGGAGCCTGTCAGAGGGCAAAAGAAGTTCAGGTAGCATTTCTTCCTTTTATTCATTCGTTCATTTTTCCAACAAGAAGATAATGGGAACTATGATTTTCTAGTGCCTGTTATTTGCCAGGCACTGTCTTTTTATCTTTTATTATCCCCATTTTATAGATGAGCAGTGAATCACAGAGCTGAGTGTTACATGGGCCCAACGTCAGACACTAACTATGGGTATGGTTGGAGTTTGAACCTGATTCTGGCAAATGACCTTGCTGATTTTATTGAGTAACTATTATGAACCGTGCTCCCTGACAGGCACCGACACAACAAACTACTCACTATGTGAATGAAGAAAAGGGTCACTCAATATGGTTGTGGTGGAAAGAAGGAGTTTAGTGGGAGACAGCTTCCAGCAAGTAGTTACTCTTAATCTGCAAAGTTTGACATTTGGCAGAGGAAGCAGAGACAATGTCTCGTGAATTCCTCCTTTCATTATCAGGTGCAGGGGTGAGTGGAGAGAATGGAGCAACGGGAAGAATTTAAGCAAGAGAGGCCACTCTACAACGGAAGCGAGACCAGCCAAGGACATTTAGTTGAGGAAGTTGACTACCTGGAGAAAAGTGAACCCAATAAGAATTGGAAAGGATTCTTTAGTCAGAAAAAGGACACATCAACGAAAAAACAAAACAAAACAAAAAGTGAATAAACCTAAGTTCTCTTCTAACCATTTCCAGGGAGAGTGGCAGATTTATTGGTGCAGGACCATGGCGAGAAACGAGTAAACCTCCCCAAAAGTGGTGTGGCCCCAAGAGTTCCGGGAAGCAGTAATGACAGCTGCTTGTTGCTCAGACACCCAGCAAGCTGAGTTGTGTCCTGCGGGAAGGCAGCCATCCCAAAGCCCTGGGGTAGGAAGCCCTGGGGATACAGCGAAGCAGGATTCAGGGAGAGCAGCAAAGTCTCTCTCTGTGCCCGGGGGTGGGGGCTGCGGATGTGTTTGCAGACTGAGGTAGCCTAGGAGACCTCAGACCTCTCTCCGTGGTGCTGCACACAGGTCAGGGCTGTGTTTAGGAGAGAGTCACTGACTTCTCAAAGTGTCTCTGACAGGAGTGCTTCTCTGTAACTTCATGTATTTCCAATACTTATGAAAAAATGGGTGGGAGGAGGTTGACATTATTCTGTGAAACTTCCTGGGAGAAATTAATGATGCCAAATGTGTAAAATATGAAAATTTTTGACACATTCTAGAACAGTGGTTCTCAACCTTCCTAATGCCACGACCCTTTAATACAGTTCCTCATGTTGTGGTGACCCCCAACCATAAAATTATTTTCGTTGCTACTTCATAACTGTAATTTTGCTGCTGTTATGAATCGTAATGTAAATATCTGATATGCAGGATATATGTTACAAATTGAACATAATTAAAGCATAGTGATTAATCACAAAAACAATATGTAATTGTATATGTGTTTTCCGATGGTCTTAGGTGACCCCTGTGAAAGGGTCGTTTGACCCCCAAAGGGGTCACAACCCACAGGTTGAGAACCGCTGTTCTAGAAAGATCATATTTAAATAGGAAATGAGCTGAAACCGGTTTGGCTCAGTGGATGGAGCATAGGCCTGCGGACTGAAGGGTCCTGGGTTTGATTCCGGTCAAGGGCATGTACCTTGGTTGCGGGCACATCCCCAGTGGGAGATGTGCAGGAGGCAGCTGATCGATGTTTCTCTCTCATCAATGTTTCTGACTCTCTATCTCTCTCCCTTCCTCTCTGTAAAAAATCAATAAAATATATTTTAAAAAAATAAATAAATAGGAAATGAATGCTCATTCTGCCAAGCTTTACTGAGCTTATATGTGTGTGTGTGCACACATCGTGAGGCACTATAAAAAGTATAGGGAAAAAAAGCTTGCTTCTGTTGATTAAATAATACATTTAAAATTATTTTTGTTACATTTTCACACAAGTGCAGTGTGACACACAACTGTAAGAATTCTCCATTTTATACAACATCTTAAAATAATTTTTTTTCTCTATGGTGTCTGCTGTGGAATATTAAATCTGGAATCCACACGCATGATTGACAAGTTTCTGAACATGAATTCTGGCTCTCCTATCTGTTTCTGTGATATTTACAAACATCCCAAATGCCACCATATTAGAGTGATCATTATGAAATATTGGGTTGTGTTTATATCTTTCATTTCTTACAGATGGTAAAACATGGACTCACATATGTATTAAAGTGACTTAAAATAGACATTTAATAAGTGCTTAACTGTCCACTGTTTGCTCCATTTCTTGATATAATATTGGACACAAAAGAGTCCTGTAGAGAGAAACTGACAAGTGTCCTGTTAATCAACCTGCCAATTCTTGAAAAATCAGTTTCAAAGCTTTATTAGTCAAGAACCACTGATAATGCCATTTTAAGATAAAAGGAAATGGAGAAAATGATAGGGGAGTTGCTACTAGACTGCCATTTATGTCTTGGGAAGGACTAATGCCTGTCCCCAATTTCACTTAGTCTTGCTCTAAGTAATACAGTGGGTTTTGTTAAGATAAATTTGCTTTAGATCAACATATACATGTTGTATGTGCGTGAGAAAAGCTCTAAAAGGAAAACATCAAGTTTAACAATAATGAGGAGTCATGTGGAGACCTTTTACTTTCCCAGTGTTTGTAACATTTTCAACGAACCTTTCTACTTTCTACGTTTTAAACAACTAAAGCTCTAAATAGAACAGAATGCATATACAATGCCCACGGTGGGAGTCTTGATCAAGCTTAACTATTTAAGGAAGAGGATGCCAACAACCTAGGCTAAATTTGCACCAATAAGCACTTACAATCCCATTAGACATTTTGGAGGATGGTGACTCTGAGACGGGAGAAATACAGTTGGTATGTTACTGAAAATCAGGAAATAATGCCTTCTTTGTGCATGGATGGACTTTTTGGTTTGTTTTCAGGGAGTTTGAAGAGTGGGGGGAGGAAAACATCGCTGGCTGCCCATTATAGCATTTACCTACCGATTTGTCATCATGGATACGTGCGGGGCCTATTTTGGAAGACAGTTCACTTTTGTAAGAGAAAATGCCTGGTTATTAGAGAGAACTGTTGAAATGGGCAAATAAGTGAAGACAGTGCAGTAGCCATGGTAACTCTGGGATAGAGGCTGAGCGCAAAGCTACAGGTTTGTACAAAAACTCAACTGAGGGATCGATAAGATGCCTAAGTTTAATGCACTATGACATGAAGGTTCAAGAAGGAACCCCTGTCATTGTTAAGGCATATATTCTAGTATGCTCACATCATGATTTCAGTGTTTCCTTTTTTATTTAACAGCTTCTGCCTCAAATTTCCCAGCGCAAAAGCGGGGTCAACACCCTTCAGCTTCTGAAAGAAAATCGGTAGGTCATCCTTGAAATGTTGCATTTTCCTCAATCAAAATATCACGGTGAAATAATACCACAGCTTTGTTTAGTGGTTGACAACAATTTATAAATACGCCTGAGACACCTGGCTTATGCAACATTGCCTGGGTTGGAAATTCAAGATCACTGAGGCCATGGCCGAGTAGATCGGTTAATTAGAGCATCATCCTGATACGCCAAGGTTGAGGGTTCAACCTCTAGTTCGGGCACATAAAAGAAGCAAGCAATGAATGTAAAAATAAGTGGAACAACATACTGATGCTTCTTTCCCTCTCTCAACTCAATAAAAAAAGATCAATAAGACAGGCTGTGAAATCGAGGAGCTCTAGCAGGTGGGTAAGCATCACGGGGCACTGCACTGAGAGCTAAGATAGAGGTTTGCACAGGGTGTTTTGCAGACACAGGCGCAGTATCTACAATTTTGCATGAGAGAACTGAGAAAGGCTTTTCAGAGGAGGTAATGATTAAACTGGATTGAACAATGAACGGGCATTTGCCGGATGGAGACTTGGACAAAGGGAGTTCCAAGTAGAGGGGGGGAAATGTGTGAAGGCTGGGAGTTGCAAAGAAAAAAGAAATGTTATAAATGTAGGACAAAATGGAGAGATGAGATGTTTCAGGGTGGAAGCAGTACAGTAGAACAGGCAGTGAGGTGTAGTTATGTCATGGGCCAAGACCACAAGGAGGAGACTCCAAATATAGACCAAACCTCCTTTAAGATGATTCTGGCTTTCCATGCTTTACTTTCCTCATTTCTAATGGGGACAGTGGTAGTGCCCTACTGCACAAGGCTACAAAGTGAAGATTAAAAACTGTGACAAAAAGGCAA